AATACAAATATTTATACATAATTAGATATTTAAAAAAGTAATCTATGACAACAGTTTAAAAGAGGATTTACAGCTAATTCTAATAAGTTTACATAAACAGGACGATAAATTTATTTTGAAAAGAAGACGAATTACTTTTATTGCGATTTAATAATTTGATAAAATAATATTTCACTGCAACCTATTCAATACATAAATATATGCAAGGTTACATGAATTATACAAAAATTTAGGAAATAACAACATAAGCTCAAAGTCCAAGTTGTATATATGATTCTTCTTCCAGTATCTAACTAAACTGAACAAAAATAACTGAATGTTCATAGGTTTTAAGATGAAAATGATTAAAGCGGGAAAAAGCTATTTTTCAAAATAGAAAAGATTTTTACGCAGCTTTTGATCATGATACTGCATTTATATATCCCTGCAGCTCTGCCCCCCCCCCCCCACCCCAATAAAAAAATCTCAGAAAATATAACAAGGAAATTTCACCACAAATGCTAAATATTTCATGCAATCATATATGCTCTAACAAGTACAAATGCGTTGCGTAGCAACAATAAACTAGATCAAAGATTTGCTGTATTTTTTTATTAGAGATCAAGGTATCGTACTATACGTGGATATAAAATAACATAAGCCAATAAGAGCTTCGGTTTCACTCAATAGACTTACTTTTGTGAAAAGAATGTCGCTTGTAAAGGAAAAATGTTCTCATATTTGTCATTGGCTAAGGAGCTTTTGATCTTTTTCTTGAGCAATAAGCAGCAATGGCAATATTTTTCCCATTTAGCAATTTAAATTTGATGACAGTTATTTAATCAATTGTCAAAATTGCCAAATGTGAAGAAAAAATGAGGATTCTTACATGATGAAACTAAAAAGACTAAATTATTTTATGATTGTCTGCATGACGTATTCATGGTTTTTAGAGACAAAATCAAAAGGTGTGTTTGATCTTTCGGACTGTGATAAAGTCAAGAGAACCTGACTAAAATGTAAATTAAAGATTTACTTCGTCTGTAGTTTATCAAATATATATATATTTGATAAACAGCCCTCGTACTCGCTTAAATATCGTCTATATTTTAGCGAGTACGAGGGCTGTTAGAAAAGTATACGGAAAGGTTAAAAAAAAATTTATTTGTGCACTAATTGTAATGAAATTTTCAACACTGATTCTTTCGGGAATTATGTTTATGGTCCGGGTGAAAGAAGTAAAATATTTATAATTATGTGTTATCTATAGTCACTATGGCAACATCATGCGACGTCGAGCAGGACAACTTCGTTAAATTGGGTAAACGATCATAAACGATCACTTATTTACTGATTCTAAAGAGATCAAAGATTGTATTTCCGACCTTAAATGTTGACCAATTGCACTTTTCGTTTTGCGGACTTTTATATCTTGACAAACGTTACGCCATTGGCTGTTATATGACGCCATTTCCGTAAAAAAAAACAGATGTTGAACACATCCCTCTACTGATATTGCAATTCTGGCGCTTAAGCAGCGGTTTTGTATGTTAATGGGGAAAAACAATATCAAAAACGATCTTTATGATTACATTACCTACGGCGAAACCTCTATGAAGAAATCAAGCATATATGAGTAGTACAACATATTTAAAAAACGATTCTACAGGTGATGTTGTCGACCGCCAAAGATTTGGACGCCAAGCCATTTCTCATACAGTCCCATGGCAACCGTTTCATGAACTCGATTTTTACAGCAGATGAAACATGTATTAGTGTTTATGACCCTAAAAATAAGCAAGATTCGTACGAGTTGAAACATCCAGACCCTTCATCACCAGTAAAGGCCTTGGTGAACCGCTCAGGTTCATCGTTTTCTTCGATGCCAGAGGCGTGATTCTGAAACATACGGTACTGACAGGGAGGACGATCACAGCACAATATTATTCAAAAATAAGTGTATTTGCTTTGAAAAAAAATAACATCAAAAATCATTTAAAATGTTTCATTTTATATTTATCGCATTTATAAAAGCATTTGGTATGATAAATCCTATCTTCATTTCAGGTTATCAAGCGTGATCTGGTGCGTGCTGTGAAGAAGAAGAAGAAGAGGCCACAACTTGATGGCAATTTCGTAGTACATCATGACAATGCATCTCCCCACTCCTCTGTTGACACCAAGACAACGTTGAGATTGTTAGGAATTGACACCGTGGAACATCCCGCATATTCCCCAAATTTCGAATATATAATTTTCTGATATATATTCACGAATAGAGAGTTCTGACTAGGGAAGAATTATTCCATGCTCTGATACAATGAAACATGATTGTATTTTTGATTGTGTTATTTTTTCAGTACAATAATGATGGTGGTGGTGTGTGTATGTGTAACATCATGCTCCATATGAAGTTTCTGACATCCCTAGCGGAGGTGACGGCAAATTCTTGCACGAACATGTCCACGAGTTCCTAGATGCATCTATATTGCACCTGGTGAGTTGATTAAACTATTTTTGCCACTAAAATCACACTAAACTCTCCAATCTGAGGTCTAATAAATCAAATTGGGAAGAGTTTCTCCATGTGACACTAGCATGACAAGTTAGTTTCGCTTAATATCTACAAATGTTGAATTTGAACTAGGAAGTACATTTTTGCATCCTTAAAACTAGCGTGTGTAAAGCAATAAACAGGTTTAAACACAAAAAATGTGACCTACTTTTGAACGTTTTCTGTTATAATAAAACCCAGTTTCAATTCTCAATCAGTGTTGTGTTTTTTTCTTGTCCGACTTTGTTTATCTTTTCAAAATGATCAAGGAAAATGTCAAATGTTATAAAATTTTACAAATCTACAAGTGTAAACAAAGTGGTTATCTGTCGAAAATGATCAAGAAGGAATTTGTTGACGTAAAATATGACTTGAGTCTTTCCATTCGTTTCATATCTTTCACCCTCCCCTCTCTCTCACACACCACACGCATACCTTCCTCGTTCCATTAAAAAAATAACAGCAACGAAACATTGCAATAAAAACTTTTATGAAATATTTAAAATATTCAAAAATGATTATATACTGATGAATAAGTGACCATGTACACTTGCGTAGTACTTAAACGTACTCAATCTTAGGTTTTTTAATTGGTAGACATTTATCAGAAAAAAAAACACAATAATGTTTCCTAATGCTTTGTTTTATAATGGTTTCATTTCGTATAAATGTATCAAAGGATACTTATATTGTTTTAACCAACTATAACACATTCCAATGTGACGCAGAAATTATGTTTTACATGCCCAGGTGCATGTAATATTGTTGTTTGCATCTGGAAGTAATATTTCATAGATTGTTTGTAATGATTTTGTAAACATGAATTTATGTTTAGGACAGTATTCGAGTAATAGTTGATGGTTGCCGTTTTGTCGAGGTTTCCTTATTTGATGTTTTGTAAATATATTTGTAAATTTCATCATCATCATCAAATCACTCTTTTAAGCGGAGTATTTATGAAATGGTACGAATTCACTTATTACCACTGTTAAAAACAGATTTTCAGGCGTATTCTAAATTCCTTTTTCTATAAAAATATCAAATTTCGCGAGAAACTTTTTTTGTCGTTTTTTATGCTCCCCGAAAAATTTCGGGGGAGCATATAGTCGCCGCCTTGTCCGTCCGTCCATCCGTCCGTCTTTCCGAGCAAACATTTTGGGTTTAGGGGCTATATAACAGTAAAGAGAACAAAAGAGAACAATAGGTTCATTCCGTGATCAAAGGTTTTATGGGCTAGTAGCCCTTAAGAAAACAAAGAAAATAGCCCCTAAACCCAAAATGTTGGAACGTCCGTCCCCTTTTCTTGTCCGGGACATAACTTTGAAACTATAAGAGGTATCGAGATGAAACTTTGTAGGTAGATAGATCTCATTAAGTAGGTTTGCAGTGCACAAGAACCGTAACTCTGCCTTGCCTAATTTTTTTAATTATCCCCCTTTGTTTATTTTCACACTTTTAACTTTGTCCAGGACATAACTCTAAAACTATAAGAGGTATCAACATGAAACTTTGTAGGTAGATAGATCTCATTAAGTAGGTTTGCAGTGCACAAGAACTGTAACACTGTCTTGCCCACTTTTGGATTTATTGCCCTATGTTCATTTTGACACTTTGAACGTTTTCCGGGACATTACTCTAAAATTATAAGAGATATCAACATGAAACTTTGTAGATAGATAGGTCTCATTGGGTAGAAGTGCAGTGCTTAAGAATCATTACTCTGCCTTGCCTTATTTTGAAGTTATTGCCCTTTGTTTATTTTTACTTTTTGACTTTTGTACGGGACATAACTTTAAAACTATTAGAGATATCAACATGAAACTTTGTAGGTAGCTAGATATCATTGGATAGAACTGCAATGCTTAAAGAACCTAAACAAAGCCTGGTCTAATTTTGGAGTTATTGCCCTTGGTTCATTTTTACACTTTGAATTTTACCCGGGACATAACTCTGATATCATCAGGAAACTTTATAGATAGATAGATCTCATTGAATAGAAGTGCAGTGAAAAAACCACACTCTGCCTTGCCTAATTTTGGAGTTTTTGCCCTTTGTTCATATTTTATACTTTCCTGTGTCCAGATCCTTCTCGGGGAGCATCACCCGGTTCAACCGGTTCTTGTTTTCTTTTAATTTTATTTTATTTTGTGTGTCACAATACTAGTATCTACATCTTTAGATTCTAATCATAGTTTCACAATGACAACTATATATACACATGTGATGTAGATCTTAAATACTTAACTTGGAATTTGATCATATATACTAAACTAACGTCAAAATTGAATTTAACTTTTATTTTGCAGTTAAGACGAACTTGCGTTCTACAGCGTATTTTATCATATATGACACAGCTACTTCGTCAAATTTCAACTAGAGAAGTCATAGCGCAGATTTTTTTCTTCAAAAATGGTATGACGTTATAAACTTTAAAAATAACTCGGTCACGTGACATTATAAAGATGTTGCACTTGAAAATAGAAATAAACCTCCAAAACTTCCTGCGTGTATATCTATAAGTATCAGTCTAGACATATTTGTTGGCAAAGACAAAACAAAAACCAAGAGATTATTTCAGTATTTTACCCATTATAAGAACATTGTTATATTCAGTGCGTTAATTGTAAGTATGCTTATTTTAAGTTTTATATTCATCTTAATCTATATGAAGAACATTTTTGTTTATTTATTTATTTATTTATTTATTTATTTATTTATTTATTTATTTATTTATTTATTTATTTATTTATTTATTCATTTATTTGTGAGGAGGACTTGTGCCAGTGTTCTTGTAATCGGTAACCTTACCAATTTGTCTTAGTTATGTTAACATTTGTTTTTTGTATCATTCATGTAGCATAACATGTATTGAACATTTGAAATAAAAAAAAAAGAACTAAATAAAATAAACTAAATTTTGATTTACATTTGACAGGACAATTTAGAAAACTGGTGTCAATACTGGTGTAGTGTAATGTAATGGTAATATTTTTATTCCACTTTAATTTTAATACATTTATCTTTTCATCAAAATAATAATTAAAGCGTTTCCAAAGATCAAACAATGAACTAGTACCGCTATTTATAATAAAAAATACTTAATTTTTAGGGACGTTGTGACAGCCTTGCGGTATGAAGATTGTAGCATTTTTAGTCGGGTTTTCTAGCCTCGTTCTGGGAGCCAAGGCAGGTAAAGTAATTTCAATTTACGTGAAACAACCTTACTTGCAGATATCAAAGAAAGCGAAATGATTATTGATAATTGATGATAATTTTATTAACAAAAAAGCCCAACATTTTTAACTGATCAAAATCTTATACTAGTGAAGCATCCATTCATGAAAAAAATGACTCTCTGCTATTTTGAAATATATGCTTTTCTGTACGAAATCTGCTGTGGTCATAGTATTATTTTTACAATAGGTTTATCTCTTAGATTTGGTTCGCTAAATTGCTAATCATGGTCATGCAACTACATAGTTAGGTGAAGAAGCAGGCGCTTGTTTTGGTTGAGTCTATTATGTTTTGTTTAGGGGGTTGAGTTGTCATACACAAATTTACAATTTATATGCATTTATTTTTTTTTCAATGATTGTTATTATCTTAAATGCTTCTGGGATTGTTGTTTTATCAATTCATTTGTAAATAAGATTGTTATATGTCTATTAACGGAATAATTTTAATGAACACGAAATTAGTTCACACCTACATGTGTATTGGTAACGTGATGGTTTAAGCCAATGAAAACACGTCAATATTATTTTACTCAGGCAGAGAAAAAGTGTGCAAAGAGTAAATCGATAATCTTTATGTAGCCAGCAAACTTTGAATTGCAAGTATTTTTTCATATCTTTTCGGCAGAATAAACTTTTCGAGGATTCGTATCGTAAAATGGCTGCCATTTACAGTATCAAGTGATTATCCCAAGCACCACCGCGACTTAGCGCGGGAATTTTAATTATAGCTAACCTCGGCGCGTATACCTTTTTCATATTTTATTGTAATAAATATTTACAAACTGTGTCTTTCGGTTTTTTTTTATCAATATATAACCAATAATGAGGTTAATATGAATAAATAATCATATCTCAAATCTTTGACTATGATTTACAATGAAATTCTACCTTAAGTGTATTAAAAAGGTTTTTAATTTCCTGTAATTTTATTTTGTGATTATGCTTCAAAGCAGTCAATTGACCGTGAATTTTCTTTTCATATTTTGATTTCCTTGAAATCATTTTTCTCATCTGAAAGCATGCAACTTTAATATGGTGATACATTAATTACATTCCATGAAAATGTTTAAAGATATAAAATATCTCATGACATGTTTGTTCATTTTACATTACACCTTTAATTCAGCAAACATAAAGTCTTCACAAAAAGTAGTATGCAATCGTACCTATATTACATACGAATGTATGTAATATTTTTCTTGTTATGTTATAGTGCTCATGGGATGTCCCATTTTCAGAATTTCTAAACATTGGGTGATAAGTGCCTTATGTTAGCTATACACTATGATGGTTGATATGGAACACTAGCGACAGCACGACAAAGCGCCAGACGGCGCGTTACCGAACTTTCGTTTTGTTGTCTTGTCGCTAACGATGCACTCCAGACTGCGCATTGTCTTGCAGCGTGTTATTGCGATGTTACGCTCAAATCGAAGAATAGGCTATTAGCCAAGCGACATCGTGACAATCGGCGCACGACTACGCACCGTTTGTCGCGTTTCGCTAGCGACAAGACGAAAAGGCGATAACGATATAGATTCTGTTGTCGCTATCGACAACGCAACGCACAACGTGTACCAAATTAGCCACCATAATTAACCGTTGCCCCAAAACTCATCTCAGTGATATTATATTTCACAAATCTCAACGCAATGATCTCCTCTTCACTCATAGTTACTGTACTGATCAAGGGAAGTAACTGCTGAGAGGAGTTTGATATTTTGCCGATCTTTCTAGATTTCTGATTCCAATACTTTTAGTGTTGAGAATTGAATACCATTTAAGCCGGTGCTTCGGGGCGAGTTGGGAGAGCGTGTAAGATGTATCAGTATACTGCGGGCAGATCACGTGTTCTTGTATTTTATTTGTATTTAATTTAATATGAAATCCATAAAAAAAACTAAAATTGAAGAAGGACAATTCCATTACAATAATCCAACAATTAAATTGGCGAACACGAGGTTACTTTTCATTAAACATAAAATATTTCATGTAATATTTGTAGTGGCATTCGCATTTATTTGAAATATCTTTCTACAGATTGCTGTAAAAATGGCTGGCTATCATATGAGGGACATTGCTACTACATCGGTTATGAAACCCTTTTGACATTCACTTCCGCGTGGGTATGTACTTTTTATAGAAATAAGATATGTATACATGCATATGTATATTTAGCTGTTTGTTGGGAGTTGATACATGTACATATATTTATTATATACTTATAAATGAAATATTGAGAATTATTACCAAATGCCTTCTACAAATACTAATTCCTTATTCACAACTGTTTAAATAAATCGCTAAAATCCTGTGCATGCGCAATGATGAAATGAACTATTGACCGGTCAACATTTTTAAATCTTACACTCCTATCGACGTCACCGGGTATTTCCGTTACCGCCGCGTTATCAAACGTCGCTCAGCTCAATGTACGGTAGTGGTTTGTCTGTAAGATTCAGCTGTTAACAATTTAAACAGTTGTAAAATATTATTAGTATTTTGTTACAATATACCTTGTAGTTTGATTGCATTGTACATGTAATAGGTAATAAAACAGTTATTTCATGGGTGTTTGTGGAACAGTAAACTGTACCTCAGGGCAACAGTTTTAACTGTTTCACAAACACCCATGAAATTATTGTATAATATTAATAAAATGAAATGCGTATTTTCATTGTCTGTATTTATTTTCACTGTAAACAATATTTTTCATTGCAGTGACACATATTTTCCGTATTTTCATTGGTAAAAATCATGTAACAAAATCATTGACATTTACACATGACAATATAATCAAAGTACTGTAAGTACTGAAACCAGCAAAGCATTAGTTTCGACATATGAAAATAAGCAAGTGTCAATAATTTTACGAGCAGCACAAAAATTGCTTCATTTTGAAATGTACTTACGCTGATAAAATGTCCTCACATCAAAATCCCACTTATTTGATAATTATTTAATAATGTATTTTGATATATATAATATTTACATGTATTTCATTTCATCACATGTCATCTATGTACAATTAACAATATTCGCAATAAACTGTCTATTTAAAACACTTTAAGATTCCAATTTATTTCCAAGCCTCATTATGGCCAAACGCCGGTAATTTGCATGATTTTAAAAACGGCCATAAGTTTGGACATTGATTTGTTAAGAAATAATAACAAATTTGAAACTGATAAAAAAGCAACTACGCAGCATAGCTGGATAAAAATAGCGTACAGTGTTCTCATTTCTTTCATAAAGAAAGTTTATAAAATGCTCAAATTATTTTTAGGAATGTTTTATATACAAGCATAACAAACGTGTCTGCTGTTTATATACAACTGCAATAATTTGTATGTATATAGTTTCACCCATCCCCAGACAAAAACAAGAACAACAACAACAAAAGAAGCATTTAAGTTTCTCTTTTGATATATATCCATACAAACATAGCTATGGTAACATATTAATTTATATATCAGGCGTACTGTAACACTCGGGGCGCCTACCTTGTGCGGCTTGAGACACCTGGCGAATACTTATTCGTGAAAGAATATTTGAAGAAAACTGGAGGTAAATTTCGTGTAAATTACAATTGCATTGGACGCAATTGTTCAAAATGACATTTATTAAATGTCATAATTCAAAACATAAGTTTATACAGTAAAATACTTTAATAATCAGATGATATAAATACAGTTTTGTAGTTCAGATTGTATCTGAAGATAATGAATTCCCTTAGAATTTGAATAGACTTTTCCAAATTCAAAGCAGGACAAATTTGTTAGTTAAATTTAGTCTTCCTTTTGTCCGTCATTGCGTCCGACAAATCATAACTAAAGTATAAAAGCTAGGCTGATGAAACGTGGTGTGGATTTTGACAGAGAAAAATATGGAGAATATACACGTCAGTGTTGTTTTCACAGAAAAAAAACGTGGTTGATATAGTTACAGAATTGTAAAAATGATTAATAAGTTAATTAATTAACATAATTAACATAATTGAAATCATGCAATTACTCGAAATGTTAACATTTAATCTCTTTTTGTAATAATTAGTCATTTTCATAAAAATTGCACAGCGATGATTCTTACCTAGTTTTGTGTCGAAACTAAAAAATCTGAGAGAGTTTTATTTGCATCTTTTTAGCAAGAACGCCATGGATTGGTTTGACTGACATGGATAGCGAAGGGAAGTGGCAATGGATGGATACTGGAAAACATATTCAATTCTCTGACTGGGCATACGGTCAACCCGACAACGCCGGAAACGAAGACTGCGTGCACTTAAATAGTTATATGAAATTCAAGTGGAATGACGTACGCTGCAGCTACAAATTCATTCCATTGTGTGAATATGACTTGAGCTAAATCTGAATCTGTCGAATACATTGTTTTCCCTTTCAGTATCACCTTTGTTTTAGTTCAAAGTTTTATGGAAAAAGTGTTTTACATTTTAATGATTGATTAAGCTATAATGATGGTTTTGACATGACATAAATCTTTTCCAAATACGCTTAATTATTTATACTTCTTAATCATTACTTGTCTGGGAAGTTACAAGCATTTTTAATATGTTTTTAAACATTGTAAGAAAACCTTGTCTTTATTTTTCCTAATTCTTACAGCAACTTCTTAAGTGTTTGAGGGCATAAACATTCCTGCGTTTCGGGCAACCCGATCTTACCAAGAGAAACCCTCTTGGCTCTTAATCATATTCTTTGAAATCTGTATAGGTCAACGTTTTATTTTAAAATGAATTAAAAAGATATTTCAAACCTACTCGTCTTTTATGAGAATGTCACAACTAATGTTTTAGTTCTTGATATTTCTGATGCATTATCTGCAACACAAAAGTTAAATCACTGTAAATTTCCACCAAAACTACTGATTATTATAATAAGTCCATAAGAAATAGTATTCTAAAATTAGTTTCAACCAATTTGCAAAAGAAGTTTTACAACTTTTAAACAGTTAGAAGAGTAGATTACTGGCTAAGAGTATATTGTTAGCAGTATCTATGTTGTTCCTATATTAATTAAGTCGGCACTTAATATCAATGATAACAGTGTTGTTATTTTTTTCTGGTTTTATGTGATTTTGATACGGTAAGTGTTGGATACCATTTAAGTAGGTGCTGGGAGCGTATGGAATGTTACATTTGACATTATTCCTCACTCAATAAAACCGAATTTGCAATTTTCAACTATTTGTTTTTTAATTATTGCTCTCGTTTTAGAATATTTACAGTCACAATTATGCCACTCTGCAGCTTTTATTGTATTGTTTGTATCATATTACAATGTTAAGATATATAAATTAATCTATAATAAAATACTTGCATAAAAATTCGTCGTTTACCATGTTTGTAAAATGTCTTATTCTATCAAGAAAACGATGGACCAATAGTCCATCTAAACGAAAGGTTGATACACTCATGTATGCATACTTTGTTGCACAAAAGAATATATAGAGGATATTGTTTGTTTGTGTGTAAATTGAAATTTTATTTCATCGAGTGGGCTTTAAAAACAGTATTCTCACGAGATGAAATAAAATTACATCTTACACAACAAACAAACAAATTTTCTTTTTATTTTATGCTTAAAAACAAATTAAAACGAAATTTCCATAATATTAACGTTAATATTAAAATCTGTTTTCCCCATTGAGAGCCCCATTTAAACGGAATTTCTCATTAAATACAAGAAGTCTTGAGCTGAAAAATAAGTTCGGCTATCAACATTAAATGACGGTGATATTATTCATTTTATTAAAAAAATATGAATGTTCGCTTGTTTTAATAATAAAAACAAACAATTCTTGTAGGAGAAAAAGTCCAACCATCCATCCAAATTTCTGTTACTTACTGCGAATTTATATTAGACCTGGCTTTGTTAAATGGAAGCGGCAGCCATTTTTTAAAGTTGTGTATTTCACGTGAGGAAAATAATTGTGTTTGATTCAGAGGGATATCATTTGGATTTGTTAGTCATACACCTTTTTAAAAGAAAGAAAACTTATTTGAGGATTGTAACAGATAAAAAATAAGTGTTGACAGATGTGAAAACATTCAAAAATGCAGATAGGAAAATGGAAAACATAGAAGCTGGCTCAGGAACGCTGGGTAGTTTACTTATTCTACGAGCAGATAGCTGCCTTTGCTTTCCAATTTTTCATAAAGCATACGACAGTTATTGCTCGTAGGATACTTTAATATGCCCAAATGTCATCAAGAGCAGTTTTGCATGTGGAAGGAATGTTTTTTTCAGACTGTAAAAATTGAAACCAAAAAATTTAGAGACGAAATTTGGTGATTGGAATTTGAAAGAATAGAAGTAAGTTTTCTTCTTTTTATTACTTTTGGCATTAAGGTATTTATCAATTTCAGTTTTGCTTTTCTTTAAACAGCCTGACATTGTCAGAATTGTCAGCAAAAATAAAATTGAGGTACCACATGGGGAAAATCTTAAAAAAGTAGTTTCGTCATTGAAAAGTGTGAAATTATATTTTGATAATTTCTACTGTGAAATTATCAAATATAATTTTCACGGATAAATCAGTAATCCACTGAAAAGCATATAATAAGTATGTTTGTTACAATTCAGACACACACACACATACACACACACACGCACACACGCGCGCGCGCACGCTCACACCAACGCACTCGTATATCAAAAGAATTTAGGTCTGTAGCTTTGAGCGGCTGCCCCGTGACATGAATTTATCATCGGACTTTTGTACAACCAGCACGTAGCGCTGTTCGACGCTGTGCCACCATGTTGTAACTAAAAACTTCTGATATTCGTTACAAGAAACAGTATATATGTAAAACTTGTATCAGTCTGGGCGTTGTTTGTCGGCTTTTTTTACACCGGTTTGTAGTTTTGATGCGTAGGAATTGACAACGAAGGTCATATGCATCGTTGATAGATGATCACCAAACTTTGTCTGTAGCATTCTTAGGTAGTCTTTCATCAAATTTGCTCATATTTATTTGATTGGTCTCTTTAAGGGGCATTTAGAGCTAAAAATAGAAAGAAAACCTTTAAACATCTTCTACTGAACTAATTGATGGATGGTCACCAAACTTTGTATGTAGCATTCTTAGGTAGTCTTTTATCAACTTTGCTTATATTAATTTGATTGGCACATTTAGGGGCCACTAAAGCTAAAATAGAAAAACCTTTAAAGACCTTCTACTTAACTTATTGAGGGATAATCAGCAAACTTTATATGTAGCATTCTTAGGTAGTCTTGTATAAAAAGGCTCCAATATGAAAAGGAAAAAAGAAAGCGTGAGTTGACATGCTGTACCTGCAAGATGTACAGTAACAATGAACTTGGGCTATTTATGAAAGGTTCCTTTTTATTATGATGAAAAACCCTAACAATCAGTGTCGTGAAACTATAAAATTAGAGCGGCAAGTTGATGTTGAGCAGGACTTGCCTATCGGCAAGCTTTCTTGAAAAATTATTACTAACAATGAAAGACAGTTGTTTCTGGTGAGTGATTCAGGGCCATCGTGGCCCTCATGTTTCTCTTAGCCTTGCCTGATATTTTGCAATATCAGACACAAGTTTGGTATTGTCTATTTACATTTAGAATACTAGTATACGTATAAAATCCAAGAAAATGGCTGATAGTTGAAGAGCAACAAAGACAAAGGTTACTTAACTTTAAAAAAAACTTCATGATAAAGCTCTATATCTTTTCTATTGTTTATATCAGACTGCTGCATTTAGTAAACATTTGTGCGTCAGTGAAGCGATACTGTACTTACCATGTTCGTAATGTTGAGAAAATCGCTTTCAATTTTGCAAACTTATCATTTACTTTTTTCTAGACCAAAACGATCGAATCGGCCAAAAGTTCAGATTACACGGAACATGAAAATTAAGTTCAATTTACACATTTGTTGTGTTAGAAGTTTATAATTGTGTTGATTTATTATTATAATGTTAATGTTCGTATAGATTAACCCGTTCGTTTTATTTTTTGTTAGAATTTTTAAACGTAGTTTACAAAGTTCATAGATTGACATGAAAGTAAATATATATCTTTACGTATTTTATAAATAATAAAACACGTCACATTATGATTTTGTTCCTTGTCTTTACAATGTTTTAATTATGGAATAATTATTATTATGCTAGCTTGCTTACATTGAACGAGTATATGTATTTCCCAATTATCAAGTTTAAGCAAAACCTCCATTTCATACGAAAACAGTGTAAAACAGTTATATAGTGCCATATCTGCTTGATGATACGGGAGCAAATATTTTATGATGTTCAGTTCTCCTTAGTACAGAAAAGCATAATGTTTATTCCGACGTCCGTCATTGTCGACAATTGATAAAAAATATTTTCTGGCAAATTTCGACCAAATTTCAGAGGAATGATCCTTTTTTGACACTCTGTATATTTCATTTAGATATATTTTTAAAAGCTATAACAGACTTATAATCTTCTCCACAGAAACTACAATGCCCAAAATTTCTCCATATGGTAAGTAGCAAGCATTATATAGTTCTATTCAAAACTGGTCCGCCATTGTGCACTTAGTTTGCGAAGACTTTAATGGGAAAATCACTGTTCAAAATAATGTGTCCAAAGGTTGGCTATTTTGCAGTGAACATTGCCTAGATAATCTGTGCAGCATTTATATATAGATTATGCCCCTGGGTCAAAAATGGCTTCTCTTTAGAAATCACTTTTTTCAATAGACTGGTAACGAAAATAAACTTCAAAAAAATCTTATTCTCAAAAACATCAATAAATAGAACTTGATATAAATTTGGTACGTAAAAAAAAAACTATGTGACACTCTCTACAAAAGTTACATTAATCAAGCCCCTCCCGCTGTGGGGGAGACTTGTATAGGAAAACACATTTAATTCTTATCGTAAGAAAAATACAATGCTCAGAGCTTAGATAGATTGCGTAAAGCAATGCCTAATTGGTCTCTATAAGAGTTATATAAATCCTGCATCTTTGGTTAAAAGATGGCAAACACGAGGGATACATAGCGTGCATTCTCATACATAAACAAACTTTGCAAGTCTTTTGTACAGAAACATGAAGGGCTAAGATATGTGACGTCAGTGTTTCCATGTGGCCCTGTTCAAATGTTGCTTAAAGCACGTCCCATGGGGTGATATTTAGACTCGCTTGATGGCAACTACTTTGCATAAACTGTGCATAAACTTTGCATAAACTTATTCAAGGAATTCAAATGCACACATCACTTAATTTGTATAGACTTATATAAACAACACAATAGTATAATTGTTTGAAATATTGTGTAGATATTTCCATTCCAACTCCGACATTTTACTTTCTTCGGAAAATTGGTCCAAAGAAATCGGAGAAATATTTTAAATGTAAAACGAACATGTGGTTTAAGGGTTTAAGATAAATAACAACAAGATACAGACAGGCATTTGCATATTTGTATTATATTAAATTTCTTGTTTAAAAGCATGCACATACAAATAAAAGAACAAATGTAGAAAGCGAAGCGAAGAAAACGCATGCACGCACGCACGCACGCACGCACGCACGCACACACACACACACACACACACACACACTTGTAAAGCTATACATGTAACTAAACATTAAACCCGAGTCTGGGATGCGCCAAATAGCGTTAAATATTAAAGGATAAGTTTATTCTAAATAACAGGATTCCGACATATCAGGTATTCATATGAAAAAAAATTATTTCATGCTTTCCAGTGTTTTATTGTAATATATCAGATGATTCTATTCTGATAAACCACTAGTGAAATTTTTAAAATATAATTTTCACTGTAGCCGAACTATATCTGAAAGCGGATGAATAGAAAATCATAACTAAATGGAATAACAGGCAGAAATAAATGCCGTCATGCGTAAATTTTGCTTCTTTAGGAAAAGAAAGTCGACGTCACCATACATCATGTTAAAAATGTAACAAAATAACAGAAATTTAACAGAACTATATTTCAAAATTGATTATGTGACGTCACAAAGGAGAATGCGCGACATTACGCGGCAAAATCAGTAAAAAATACTTAAAATCACTTAAAAAGTATGAAATAAAAAGAAAATTTATTTGTTTTACACATAAGATTGAAATATATTTCATTCGTGAACACCAGCTATTATATTTTCACTCGTGGCTACGCCACTCGTGAAAATATTGCATCCAGGTGTTCACTCAGTGAAATTAGATCTCTATATTTCAATCTTACATGCAAAACAAATATCCTCTATATAATTACGGATTCAAAAGAAGTGGCTCAATCAACCCGAAGGAGTAGCTCAACCAACCCAGACACCCAGACACAAGGTTGGTAGAGCAAATGAAAAAATGCATTAATGACAATTTAAAGTGTCATGTTTAGTTATTTTATTCTATTTGTAAGACTTGCTATAGGAAAATACAAAAACGATTTTAACTTTTTTTTTCTAATTGATTAACTGTTTGTAACTTGTCTAAAACCGACGACAAACAACAGTGGCTGATCAAACCCCGATCTCCTCTTCCAACATGCAACTTGTTATCCAGAAAGTTTACAAATACCATCTGATAACAGAACGATAATAGCTTCTTGAAAAACTCATTGCCATTAGCCTAGCACAATCAGTCATTGGACAGTAGTTCTTCCTAATTCACATACAACAGTCATAGTAGAAGCATTCTATTAATTCTTACTGTGCCTCTCTACTGTACGGCTCGTACGGTGGCAATAAAGGGGTTTAAGTGAATCTGTTATTTACTACGCGCGCACGCGATATCTATATCTTGCGCACGTGACAGCTATTTTACGTGACCACGCGATAGTTATTACGAGCGCAAGCTATACCTAGCCTTTACTGGCTACCCGCTATGTATTTCGTACGTATGCGCACGTTAAACATAACACGTGGCAATTTGATGGGTTTATCGTAACCACGATAAACTTTCACGTGCTCACGTACAATGTGATACAATCGCGCGTGCGCGTGTACATCGCGATATGTTTAAACGTGCGCACACAGACGTAATACCTATTGCGTGGTCATGTTAATTAAAGCTATCGCCACGGAAGATACAATTTAGATATCGCGTAAGAACATTATAAATGAAAGAAATGTCCCATTTACTTTACGCAGTATTGGACTCATTAAAAGTGTTTTTTTTCCAGGCTATACAGTACAGTACTGTATAGTAGTTATTCCCCTTTGTTTATACCACGCCATTATTTTATAAACAGTGTCGTTCTCGACTTTGAAAGGTAGGTATAGATTGACATAGCAACAGATCTTTATCTATTTATTTTCCATTTTAAACCGGGGACCTACACTTTAACAATGATACGGAGTTAACTAGTTTGATAAGTTAATTATTGCTGGGTACAGATACATGTATGTATGTTATTCAATTAACAGGATTTTGTTTGAATTAATGTCTTTAGATGAGATACATGTAATTTGCATAACCTATTTATAACAGATGACAAAGTTTTTGAATGCAAATGATGAATTTAGGTATTTTTTTCCAGAAATGAGTAAAAAATGTAAAAGTGTTGTTCTTCATTTTAATGCGACAGATTCAATTTGGGTCAAAAACTTCGCTTTTACATATGTAGACCTGTATATAATAATGGTCAGCTTTGATAAACTTTGGGCACTAAAAAGAGATACTCCAGATCTTGGCAAATGTTGGTTTTTCTCGTCTTATCCCAGGATACAACCAAACTTTAACAGTTATAACTCAGTGAGTACATATATTGATAATTAGCTCACATACATGTGACAAATGAAATGGGCCAAATCTGGATTTTCAGCTGGATTTTGAGGCTCAAAACTGGATTTTTTTATTGACTCGAATCTCAATGTGTGTTTGGCACATTTGTTTCAAAGAATCTATATTACCCTCAAAATCATTAAATGATACTTTTTATTATTTTTTGTTGATCAGTATTAATTTAATTTATTTCACCAAAAAATAAATAAATAGATAAATAAATAAGTGTAGTCATACAGGCTATTTCTAAAACAGTCACATTTTCACATTTCATTATTTTCAGTTTGAGTAATTCTATCTGTCTTTTCAGTCATACAATAATTGGCTAATAATTTAAAACACAAACTATTTGAAAACTTGCAACAACTATTCATGAACATAAGACTCTGACAGTTAAATAACACAACATTGAGAAGACTCGAATGCAAGAATCGTTCTGTTAATTAAATCCACATTTTTGCCTCGATGATTGTGTTATAAATTCCTAAACAAAACAAAAAAATTACCCACTCACTAAAATTAGGTTAATTAGACATGGTTTTGCCGCATCTCAAACAGGTTTTTGAATGATCCACTTTAAATGATTCTGCTCACCTTTAATCTTTATCTAATCATAGAAAATCAAAGGTTGAGCCAAATTCATACATATAAATTTACAGGGTCGTTTTGATGACGTAGCGTGTAATAACTACTGCCAAATTATAAAAGTGGTCAACTGACTGACACACTACACGTGTTAAGTTAAACATGTGAGAATTACTTTGGGATGGAACTGTTTATTACATCACCTTGCTGTAAATTAGTGACACAACATTTAATCTGCTATAATTTAGGATATGGACAGATAACAATCAATGCCTGGAGGCACGGTTTACATTTTAGGTTTGATTTTTTTTATGTTGATTTTTTTTTAAATATCGGGAATTCAAGCTGTAATATCGGGAATCAGGATCAGTGTTGAAATATCAGGATTTTTTTAATCCCGCCGGGATATCACATGTATGAACTCATCGGGTTGATCACCCTGTTTTGAAGGATAGCGCTACTGGTACATCGTGAAGCTATGACAGTAAACGTTTGTTTTTACCCCGGAATTAGACAGGGAAAAACCTTTATTTTGCCAAGTTCCTGATAAAATCTATTATCCTAATTGATGATGATGCCATGTTACTTTCAGAATTCTGCAATGTCAAAAAGATACCACTCAAATGAAGAGAGACAGGACAACAAAAGAAGGAGAAATGAAGGACCCCCTCCAGAAATGTACACAGTATTTCAGGGAGAAGTCAGTGCATAATTAACATCTTATTTTAGAATAGCGATAGTTGACACACCAGTACAGTACTATACATGCTGATTTGTGAATGGATGCTCATGTTTGGCTCATAACTTTGTTATTCATGGATGGATTTTGAAATAATTCATAGATATTCAACTAAATTGAACTTGTTAAGATGACATGTATCAAACAAGAGTTCAGCAGCCTAAAAGTCAAGGTCACACTGTAATGGCAAAAGTCATGATATGATAGTTCATTAATAGTTGTGCCGCTCATTAATTATGCCATTCATGAATTTGAAATTGCTAGGCATAATTGATTGTATGATTCCCGTCACCAGGAAAACACCAGGTCGGCAAATACAGCTACATGTAGAAACATGAAAGTTATACTTAAAATAGCATATTGATGGTTGTGTCTCAACTTGTCCTTGAAAAAATGAGCATGATGTTATTTTATTTTGTATAGTTGTTGCTTAAGGCTGGAACATTCATCATTCCACCATGCAGATTGATGAGATTAAAACTTTATTTGAACTTTAAAATGAAAACTTTTCTCATGATCAGATGTGTGTTAGACTTTAACAACTTGTACCATAATGGAGCAGATATTTGTTTAATGCTGTTTTCCATTTATTTCTTTTTATTGAATTGAAAAAAAGAATTTAAAAATAGACAAAATTTGTTGCAATTACATTGTATATGATACTAGCTTCTCTTGAATGTACTAATTTGTTAAATTTTAGATAGCATCTGTGAAAGAGTACGGGGTGTTTGTAAAAATACCAGGAAACTCTAGGCAAGGTAAGATTTAAACTTTAGAACAAGGTTTGGAAATAAAACATATCTAAGAATCCTCAAGACAGGGGCAAGTATGCTCTTTGATAATGAACAAGACCTACCTTTGGATTTTAAGGCATGTTTCTTTCGTTAATTTAATAACTGGAATCTGGAAGCAAGGTATGATGTTTAACTAAGTTTATGGTAAATATCTGTACTTTAACTCTAAGCCTGCAGATCACCACTGCTTTTTCAGATCCTGAAAGGGACTTTGGGTTCTTTTATGTGAGGAAGCTATCCAGCTAGCTTACGGAATGTCAGTGGTTCTACTCAGGTGCTCATTTTCACTATCTTAAGCTATGTTATGTATTAAAGTTTGAGTTATGCTTTTGATTGATTATTTCATAGTGATAATAAGAGTCTTTCTTCACAACATATATACCTATACCTAAACATTGTCTGTATGAACAAAACCTACCCAAATTATGATAAATCTAGTGTGTATACATAATAATAAATGTACTGTGTATTCACAATGATAAAGGTACTGTGTATACATAATGATAAATGTACTGTTTGTTAAAGGGTTGGTGCACAAGTCACAGATTTCCCAATCTCGTGTAGATGACCCTTCAGAGATGTTTGCTAAGGGAGAAGTGGTGTATTGTAAAGTGATATCTATTCAAGTAAGTAACAAAATGATATAAATAACATGAGATTAATAGGACTGGTAATATTGTAAAGATTTGGTTGCTTTTGTTTGGTGCTTTACACTGATTTTAAAACATTTATTTACCCTCGTAACTGTGGGGTTGCCTTTAAAGCATCAGAATTGCAGCCAACGTTCATCCATGCGTGATCATAAGAGGCAACTGAATGGGTATGAATTACTGGAGTCTATCCCTGGTGTTGCTTTAAGTTTGTAACACCCGAGGTTAACCAAAATCATGTTACCTGTTTTTGCGCCATATGATTTAAATGTTGGTAAAACCAAACAAAGAAAACTAACACATTTAATAGTCTTTCTTTGATGTTGGTCCACCTTACTAGTTTTTTCTGGATAATTAACCAGTAATCATGTATTTCTTTGCAAGTGGCCGACTTTAAATCCCACATGATTTTTGAATTAGCATTGCGATACAAATGACCTTTAAATGCAATGTCCGAAATCAATTGTCAAAGTGAAATTTTGCCTCACACAATGATTGGTCCAGTGACCTGGGACAACAACTGATACTCTACCTATTGAGCTAAGCAGCAGGACCTTTTTGAAGAGATACATACAATTATTTTTAACACAAACTGTGTTTAGATCAACTTCACATATTACAGTTGTTGTTTTCGTTTATAATGCATTGAAGAAATTGTACGTTTAGTCCCTCAGAAGGTTATCAAGATTTCACACAAGGTGAGGCAAAAGTTTGTTTCAGCTCTTGGTTTCTGACATTATTGTACTTATGTTAAATACTTTTGATACTGATGTGGAAGAATATTTTTATTTTGAATTAATACAAACTAATAACATTAGGCAAGAGAACACAAATTCTTGCATATTAGACAGGATTATATTCTGTTTACTATGGGGCTAGAAAAACCCATCTTACACTCCCCTGTGTAAGACTAGTTGCATGTTTTAAAAAATGTCATTCTTGCACGCTTTATATGAATGAACTGCGTTCTTAGTATGACATCATTTTGCTGTTACGAATGAAGTTGTAAATTCAAATGCTACTATAAGAAAAATGTGCTACATGAAAATATCATTTTTTGTAATTTCTTTCCGAAATATGATCAATATTTAATATGCAAGAAAAAAAACACCACTGGCTGTTGTCACAGATGGGAATATCTAGCTCCGGTAGACAAAATTTTAGCGATTTTTGTCAATTTGTGAAAATTGCCAATATTTCCGCGGTGCTAACTAAACCACTTATACCGTAATTTACCGAATATATTTATTTTTGTAAAAAAATTTGATTGTGCTATTGTGAAAAAAAGAGAAATATATTTCTATTTAGGAAGATGGAGAAAAAATAGGCTTGGCAATGAAAACAGTAAATCAAACCACAGGGCAAGATCAGGATCCGAATAATATAGAGTTAAGGTATTACATTGTATTTCAATGCCATTCAATTATTTTACAGGTAGAAGCATGTTTGTGTCTAGCATGGTCATCTTGGTTGCCAGTCATCAATTCTTTAGTGACCTTTGTGGGGCATCAGAAGATGTTGGTTGACACACCCCAGGCATTCTACTAGTTTTTGTGATGTACATTTATGATACATGATATTAAAAAAGGCAAAGGGGTTAATAAATCTGTGCAAAAGATAATACAATAATATCAATATGTTAAATATTAGATAAGGACCTTAAAGGCTCATTATGCCTCAGAAATGCTTTTATTTTTATTTCTCAAAAAGTTTTTATTTTTTTAATTCAAATATGTATTTTTACCTGGTCACTGTCCATTTACTCTTGGATGGGCATGGTTATTTTAAGTAATCCAGATGTCACTGGTGTAATCCTGAGAAGAAGCATTAGTTCTCTGTGACATTTGATCTGAGATATTTAGTCTAATTGTCTTTTGTCTATGAAAACGAGGCTAGGCAGAGTAAATCATGTTTTGATCTGTAATTTTTTTAACAAAGAAAATTAAAATGAGACTAGATGGAGTACAATGTTGATTTGATATGGAATTTTTTGACTAGCAAAATGAAAAAAAGAGAGGCTAAATCATTGCTGATTAATGTGGGATAAGAAGCCAGTCACTTGCTGAGAAATTGGTAATAACTGGTTAGTTATCCAGGAAAGCCGGTCAGGTGATTGATGTCCAAGATATGACCAAATACATGTGTTAAAAACTTAAAATTGACATAAATACCAGAATAAAACACACAATCAGTTGTTTTATTTAGCTAAAGAGGTAATTAAAGTAAAGTATACCAGTAAAATGTGCATGAATGTTTTGTTTGTAGTCAGGATGAAAAGAAGAGAAGACAGTTTGGTGATAGATCACAAAGGCAGAAGATTATTCTAGAAGCTGTACTGGATACAACCTGTAAAAAGTGTGGCGGTAAAGGTAAAACAGTATCATTACGAAAAAATATCAGTAGTTTTCTAAGACATTATTATACAGTTACAGTGTTTCCTGGGCTGTTTTTTCACTTCCTTTAAATGTTGGCAAAAATAATACTGTATTTTTGCAAAAGGGAAGAAAAAACTCTAATGAAAATTGAATTTTAGGAGAAAGCTGCATGATGTTTTTTTAAAGAATTTCAGTTCACCGAGGAAAAAAGACATTAAACGTCACCAGCTAAAGAAGAAGAAAAATTCTGTTATTTACAATGAATCTTATAATGTATGGGAATTTATATTTTGTTTCTTAAAAAAAAAAAAATGTTTAATTAGTAAAGTTGAATGATATTTTTATATTATTGTTAGAATTCTCTGATGCAAAAAGGTACATATATACATGTGTATGTATAATATTTTGTATAATTATGATATTCATTTAGATGAAAAAATATCTGATCAAATAATATGTTTTATGTGAGTAAACTACGTGTATTTTAATTTAAGTTATTGGTTTACTTCATTGATTGTAAATTTTAAGATACTTATGAATGTTGTTGTAGAACTTATTTTCCTAATAGACAACATGCAAAATCTATATAGGTTTGTCTTAAACTGTAGTTAGTAAAACTATTTGTTTACAAAGTAGTTAAGTTGATATAACTTTTTGCATATGTGGTAGTTAAGTTGATAAAAAACACTTTTTATTTACTGTTTCCAGGTCATCTAGCACAGGATTGTTTTAAAACTGGTGAAGGCAGCTATGATTTGATACCAGATTTAGATGACTACATGCAATCAGTGGGTACTGAACAAACTAAATCTACAGAAACAAAAAAGTCTAAGGTTTGTAGCACAATCAAAACATGTGCCAGTTTTATTTTGTAAAAATATTACTCCCCTTTCTATTGACATGGTCTAATTTATAGTTAATAAATATCATATTGTTCTTGATTAAAGATACATTATTCTCAATCTTGAGTAAAATATGTTAATCACAGAAATTTATTGAAATCTATGAAATCTATTCTTACTGAATATGTCTAACTTGAATACAAGAATGAGTGATCTATGTATGGGAAGCTGAAGGATCAAAATCAATATTTGCATCCACTGTAGGATTCCCATATCATTAAATTTATTCTTAAATTTCATAAATTTCAAGCCCTTGTCCTTTGTGAACACAGGACGTGATTAATATTGTACTGCTGGGGTTAACCTTTTGAACAAAATTGCTTTGTGCTATTACTATTGTTACGATTATTTCAGGAAAAGAAAAAACATAAAGAGAAGAAAAAGAAGAAAGAAAAAAAGAAAAGAAAGAAGGAAAGAAAACACAGTAGCACAGACTCAGATGATTCTAGCAGTAATCGTAGACAGGTAGATTACTATCTTGATTCCATTTTATGAACACTTCTCTGAATAGTGATAAAGAGTTCACATCTGTCATTGTTTTTTTATTACAGCTCTTATAAAATTTATTATGTAATCCGCCAAGGAATTGCTTTGACCTTTTTAGCTTAACTATGAAGAACAGAGGGCGTTTCCTTCATCAGCATTTGTGTAACATTGGTTAACTAAAGTTTTGTCTGCAGCTTCTTGCACAATTACATATCTCATCTAATCAATTACTAGTTTGTCTGTTTTGAAGAAAAATGTCGAGCTATTTTGAACATAGCGTTGTCGTTGTTGTCGAGCAAAAACATTAATGTAGCCTATTTTTTAAGTTTTTTAAAAAAGATATCAACATGAAACTCGGTATACTTGCTTATCATGACAATATACAGTTGTTAGACAAGGGGCATAATTCTGAATGGAATATTTTTGGAGTTATGCCTCTTTGATTTAGAAATTTCAGCAGACAAGCATCGGATTTACTTGAAAGAATACAGTATTGTTATTTTGATGTTTCATTTTGTCACCTTATATGATAGGAAAAAAAGAAGTTGAAGAAGAAGTATAGATCATCATCAGAGAGCTCTGATAGTGATAATCATACTAGAAAACATAAGGTAAATTATTGTTCTCTTTAATAATATTGTAATAGCAACTTGTAAAGCAGATGAAATACATGTATATTATATCTTGGACGTTATATAATGGGACAAGCAATTGGAGATGAGTGCCATTTTGGTCATTCAGTCGCATGCACCACAACGTTTTGTGATTGTTTAGAAAGGATATATTTTGTCTGTAGTAAACAGTTTAAATAAGTGAATTATCATGCAACTGACATTAGAACTTAACTGTTATTTTGTATTTAAATGGTTTAATCATGATATTATGAAAATTTATTAATGTACTTTTTAATATAACAGCATCAATATATGACTAATATTGAGTAACGCTCTAGCAGGTGCTAAGGTGTCAGAGGGAAGTCACACTTTCTCATTATCCCTCATATGCAGACTCATTCAAACCAAGTCTGCAATTTTGATGTAATTTTGTTTTGAGTAATGCTTACAAGGAATCACTCTTTCTTCAAGTCTTTATACACTATGTTTATTGATTGATTGGCAGTCAGTGGGTCTACAGAATGAGACCAATGATACAGCCAGTAGTTGCTTGTCCCGTTATATTAGGTCCCAGATTATAAAACAAGTCTTTATTACTGACCGTCAGCTTTTTTTGCCATGATTAAATTTACTATTTGATTTCTCAATTATAAGTAATTATAGCTGTTGATAAATTTCAACTAAAATGGCATAAATGTCACTGTGCGGTCAATTTATTTAGATTTGTGGCATTGCATTTATACATTTATTGCTTGTTATTAATCAGATCGTAAATTGATCAATGTGACATGTTGTGATCACTTGCTCTCCTTTATATGTCTATCGAGGCACAAATTGGCAATTGGGAAACCAAATGTGTAAGCCTGGTTATATAGGTGTTACTTACTTACTTACCTATTAACTTACTTTAGAGACATCTTTTCTAAGACCACTTGGTCAGTTATCATTAAAACTTCATAGGAATGTTCATTGGGTGATCTTCTTTCAAAAATGTTGAAAAAAATTTAGTTCTGTGCAGAAACCTGGTTCCTACCATGACATTATATGTACTGTTTGTTGAGCCAAATAAATACCCCTTGTCATTTAGAACCTCTTTAGTCAGTGGAGCGATATAGGGTCATATCCTAATTATAGTTAATTTCTTTACATTATGATTAATTTTAATTTGTGTTAACAAAATTGTTGTGTAGTACATAATGTATAGTTATCATAGATATGTAGACTTTTTATTTTGACTTTACAGTAATGAGTTTTTTTATTTGCAGAGTAAGAAGAAAAGTCATCATAAAAAGTCCAGATCAAGTAGTACAGACAGTAGATAGTAGCATACATACATGTATAAATAATATAGAATTCCTCACATATATATGTGGTGACAGTGACCTTCACACCTCTTGGATGCTTTACAGAAATAGGTCAAGGTCATTGTTAACTAAAACCTTAATGTTAAGCTGTAGGGGACAAGCACACTTTCTAAAACTTACTTTAAGAATATATGAATCATTCTCCTCATCTGGAGTTTTAAAACCTATATTTTATGTAAGCTTCATTTGATTTATGTCCCCTTAGTTTCTGTGGACATTATGTTGACAGAAACTAAATTTATATGCAAAGTCATGTATATGGTTGATCCACAGTGATAAATCCACAGTGATAAATCATCTTATTTCCTATTTGCACAAGAAATGAACAAGATAAAATAAATAGGCTCCCAAGAAAGATACAGTGATTGGAAGTAGAAGTAGCAGGTGCTTGTGTTCGCTAAAGACATGGGACACATTGAATTTTATAGGCTTGCAAGACATTATATAGTGATTTTTGTTTATTTACTGTGAGATGGTAGATTTTGTCCTTTTATCTTCTACACTTGAATTATACATATATATTATTCTTACAATTATGAGATGATTGAATGTCATTGTTATGTTTCACTACCAATGAATGTATTAAAATGTTTTAACTGAAAAAAATGTGATTATTTTCTATATCATATTATATTTATTCGTTTGGTCATCACTAATTTTTCATAGTGACATATTATACAGGGAAAGGAAGTACTCTTATGCATGTTTCACTACTGAACACGTGAAATACTTAAAAGATAACAATTTTTTTTCTCCATTTTGTGTCGCCTCTACGGAGTAGTGGCGACATAAAGGGATCACTTCTCCGTCGTCTGTTTGTCCGTCCGTCCGTCACAAAACTTGTCCGGACTACTCCTCATAAACTACTGGTGCAATTTCATCCAAACTTTACAGGAATGATCAGTACCAAGTCTAGTTGTGCATATTGTCAGCATTTTCCGGTTCAATGATTTTTATTTGTTTGGGTCGTCAGACCAAACAAATAATGGTAGCGAAATTTCAGAGTCTAATGCTGTTCATTGCAAATGCCTAAAGTAGTCCACTTTTTTGAAGCGGTTACTTCCCTTTATATGTACACTAACGCCGAAAAATTCAGGGGAGATCAATGCATAATGATTGTCAAATGACAGGCGCATTAATTTTCAAGCAAAGTAGTTCCCGAATGGTCGAAGATTTCTAATATTGTTTCATTCTTTATAGATATTCATGCTTACAGTAAGCTCCATGATTATTTACATCTGTGTTAAACAACAGGTTTAGCGTCAAAATAATAAGAGTTACAAACCCTTATTTAGAATAATATGGTTTTCTTCAGGCCGATAACATACATGTATATCTTCACCGTGGCGGAGGGGTTTGCACGCTCGCTTATAAATCGAGAGGTCTGGAGTTCAAATCCCAGTTGAGGCAACTCATTTTTTAAAAAAAAATTTAAGTCAAATAAACATTGAATTGACTGACTATCAGTGTTGCAATTAGTCTAATAGCCAATTTACTACAGTTAAAACACTGGAAAGCATTGGTGGCACTTTACAAAAACAAATTGGTTTATAATCTCACAACCTTCACCTTTCTGACATTCTGAGACCAAAACAAATTCAGCGCCTTTTGTGCTTTGATTGTCAGAGTTATGGCCCTTTAATAATTTTTAGCTTGACTTTTTTTTTTTTGAAAAAAAAAGTAGAGGTATTGTTATAGTCGGGTCGGCGTTGCCGTTGCCGTTTCTGTTCCCGTTCCCGTCCGCAAACTTGTACCTGGATCATAACTTTTTTATTTCTTGGTGTATTGTCTTCATACTTGGCCACAAAAACCCCTGGGACAAGACCTTTCAGTAGACCACACTAACCTTGACCTTCATCCATAAATGACCTTGACCTTCAAGGTTAAAAGTCCAATTTTTGCTTGTTCATGCTGTTATTGGCTGTAACTTTGTTATTTTTGAATGGATTGTCTTCAAACTTGAACATAATAATCTTCAAGGATATCCCTTAAAAATAATCAGCCAGACCTTGACCTTCACTCATAAATGACCTTGACTTTGAAGGTCAAATTATTGAAATTTTCATTTTTTTGGCTATTATTGGCTGTAACCTTGTTATTTTTGAATGGATTGTCTTCAAACTTGAACATAATTATCTTCAGGGATATCCCCTAAAAATAACTAGACAGACCTTCACTCATAAATGACCTTGACTTTGAAGGTCAAATTATTGAAATATTCATTTATTTGGCTATTATTGGCTGTAACTTTGTTATTTTTGAATGGATTGTCTTGAAACTTGAACATAATAATCTTCAAGGATAACTCTTAAAAATATAACGAAAGACCTTGACCTTCACGCATTAATGACATTGTCTTTGAAGGTCAAATTATTGAAATTTTCATTGTTTTGGCTGTAACTGACTGTAACTTTGCTATTATTGAAGGGATCAACTTCATATTATAACAGAACATTGTTGTTTATCAAACCGAAAAGGCTCTTTAATGACTTTGACCTTGAAGGTTAAATTACTGAATTTTCTCAGATTTGTGCATTAAATGACCATAATTATATATTTATTGGTGTGTGTGTGTATATTTATATTTATACATATCTATCATCATCATCATCATCATCATCAACAACAACAACAACAACGTATATTGCATGTTTCTATTTTTAGAATTGCGTGTTTCTATTTATAGATTTGCGTGTTTTTATTTATAGAATTGCATGTTACTATTTATAGAATTGTGTGTTTCTATTTTTAGAATTGCGTGTTTCTATTTTTAGAATTGCTTGATTCTATTTATAGAATTGCCTGTTTCTATTTATAGAATTGTGTGTTTCTATTTTTAGAATTGCGTATTTCTATTTTTAGAAATTGCATGTTACTATTTATAGAAATTGCGTGTTTCTATTTTTAGAATTGCGTGTTTCTATTTTTAGAATTGCGTGTTACTATTTTTAGAATTGCGTGTTACTATTTATAGAATTGCGTGTTACTATTTTTAGAATTGCGTGTTTCTATTTTTAGAATTGCGTGTTTCTATTTTTAGAATTGCGTGTTTCTATTTATAGAATTGCGTGTTTCTATTTATAGAATTGCGTGTTTCTATTTTTAGAATTGCGTGTTTCTATTTATAGAATTGCGTGTTTCTATTTATAGAATTGCGTGTTTCTATTTTTAGAATTGCGTGTTACTATTTATAGAATTGCGTGTTACTATTTATAGAATTGCGTGTTTCTATTTTTAGAATTGCGTGTTTCTATTTTTAGAATTGCGTGTTACTATTTATAGAATTGCGTGTTTCTATTTTTAGAATTGCGTGTTACTATTTTTAGAATTGCGTGTTACTATTTATAGAAATTGCGTGTTACTATTTTTAGAATTGCTTGTTTCTATTTTTAGAATTGCTTGTTTCTATTTTTAGAATTGTGTGTTACTGTTTATAGAATTGCATGTTTCTATTTTTAGAATTGCGTGTTACTATTTTTAGAATTGCGTGGTACTATTTATAGAATGGCATGTTACTATTTATAGAATTGCATGTTACTATTTTTAAAATTGCGTGTTTCTATTTTTAGAATTGCGTGTTTCTATTTATAGAATTGCGTGTTTCTATTATTAGAATTGCGTGTTCTATTTATAGAATTGCGTGTTACTATTCATAGAATTGCGTGTTTCTATTCATATATATATATACATGTATATACAAAATAGATAAATAAAACTAATGTGACAAGACAGACCAACTTAATTTATAAAAAGGAACCAAACGTCTAGATATCTGTATCAAACATTTCTAGTGTTGAGTGCCCGTTAGAAAAAAAGTCTTAGAAAGAGTTCGTGATAGCGTTGCCCTCGAGCGCTGTAGCGTGTAGGACTCTGATTTATTTTGTCTACGCTCGACTATACGAAGTTACTAATATGAGAGATGTCTCGTCCTCACTTCGCCCCGGCGTCCAGCTGTCCGCCTAGTTTAAAGTTTATATGAGTGACAGTAATAACTACTTTTCCACTATAACCTTTTGTCATACTAATTGCTTAAGTATCCAACTGTGCAAACTCTCAGAATCATGATGTTCCTTATCATCAACCACATCTTATGTGACAATGGCTTCATAACTCTAGCACCAAAGATATTTTACGAATTTATTCTCTCCCTTGAATATCTATAGAATTTTCCTTAAAAAATACTATTTTTTACTGTTACTTCTTTATTTCTTAAGGGAATCAACCTCATACTTCAAATATTTGTACCTTATCATCATCCCCATCTTATGTGACAATGTTCATAACTCTAGCTCCAATATTTTCAGATTTATCTCCCCTTGAACTTAGAATTTTCCTTAAAAAATACTATTTTTTACTGTTACTTCTTTATTTCTTAAGGGATCAACCTCATACTTCAAATATATGTACCTTATCATCATCCCCATCTTATGTGACAATGTTCATAACTCTAGCTCCAATATTTTCAGATTTATCTCCCCTTGAACTTAGAATTTTCCTTAAAAAATACTATTTTTTACTGTTACTTCTTTATTTCATAAGGGATCAACCTTCATACTTCAAATATATGTACCTTATCATCATCCCCATCTTATGTGACGAAACGGTTCATCACACCTTTAGCTATATCAATATTTCAGATTCTATCTCCCCTTGACACTCTACTCTAGAATGGTCTTTTAAAAAAATATTATTTTTACTGAACTGTGATGATCTTAAAGCGATCAACTTCCCATACTTTCTCACACATAGAAATGTACACTATATCATCTATCCACATCTTAATGTGGACAGGTTTTCATAACTCTAGCGCACCCAAATGTGCAAGAATTATCTCCCCCATACAACTAGCAGTTTTCATTTACCGTAGAAAAAATTTTAATTTTCTTCTACTTTCACTTTACAGATATTCTAACCTCAAACTTCAAATATTATATATTCCTTATAATCATATTTATATTTTATGTGACAATGTTAAACTATATATGTATGGTAATTTTTACACCGATTATCTCTCTTTTGAACTTAGGATTTTCTTTAAGAAATATTATAACTTTGTTACTTTTTAAGGTATCTACTTCAAACTTCAAATATATACTTCTTATCATTACATACATGTTGTGTGACAAGGTTCATAACTCTAGCGTGACTTTTTCTAGAATTATTTCCCTTGATCTTGGAATTTATTTTAACAAATGTTATTTTTTTACTATAACTTAATACATAATTATACATAATTGATTTTTCTTTCATAGTTTTGTCCTCCTTACTACGTCCAGTATTTTATTAGTCGAGCTTGGCTGTCTCCTGTGACAGCTCTTGTTAAAGTTTGTCCGGACTACTTCTCTTATACCAGTAATGCCATTTCAATGAAACTTTACAGGATTGATCTGTAGCTCTAGTCCTTGC